AATGAATCACGAATTTGTAGGCATCCCGAAAAAGGCTCGACCAATAGAATCCCGACTAGAGCACCTTTCTTGCAGTTCGGTTGCCTCCGTGGTGACCCCCAGCTGTCCCCGTATGATAGTGGTTCAGAATACCTTCCATCTCCTCCTCCAATACGCACCTTCGAATGACTCCGTCGGCCCCAATTTGAAAAAGGTGAGGGTCGTCCCTGAAGTAAGCATGGAGGTCAGAGAATAACTTGTTTCTCTCATGTGTAGTCATTCCCTTGCGTAGCTGCTTTCTAACCAGATAATTGGCGAAGTCAGCAAACCATGGGGCGATGCTCTCTACAGCGGCGAGGGCGAGTAGACGTTCATCGGGGAAAGTGTCATTTATCTCTCTCGGATGAGTGCTACTTCCCAGTCCTTCGAGCCGTGAGAGGTGGTCAGCTGCAAGGTTTTCGGACCCCTTTTTGTCATTGATCTCCACATCGAACTCTTGAAGCACCAGGATCCATCGAATCAGTCGGGGCTTGGCATCCGCCTTGTTCATCAAGAAGAGGATGACAAAGTGGTCTGTGTAGACAAAAACCTTGGAGAGCACCAGATAAGATCTGAATTTATCGTAAGCAAAGATTACTGCTAGCAGCTCTTTCTCCGTGGTTGTGTAATTCTCCTGAGCTTCATTCAGTGTCTTTGAGGCATAGCAAATAGTTTGAAAGTGTATACCCCTCCTTTGGCCCAAAACTGCTCCCACTGCATATTCACTAGCATCGCACATGAGCTCGAAAGGAAGGTCCCAATCCGGTGATACCATTATGGGGGCATTGGTGAGCTTCTCTTTAAGGATGTTGAAAGCATCAAAGCATTCTTTCGTGAAGAGGAATGGGGCATCCTTCTCCAAAATCTTGGTCAAGGGAAATGCAATCTTCGATAAGTTTACGATGAAACGTTGGTAAAACCCTACATGCCCAAGGAAACTTCTTATCCCCTTAACTGTGGTTGGGGGAGACAGCTTGCTTATTGTCTCAACTTTGGCGTGGTCCACCTCAATCCCCTGCTTGGAGATTTTGTGACCCAACACAATACCCTCCCGGACCATAAAATGGGACTTCTCCCAACTCAAGGCTAGATTGGTTTCTTCACATCGCTCAAGGACCTTCTCCAAGTTGGCCAGACAATGAGAGAATGAATCTCCGAAAACTAAAAAGTCGTCCATGAATACTTTCATTATCTCCCCAACTAGCTTGTCAAAGATGGTCACCATGCACCTCTAGAATGTTATTGGGGCATTACACAATCCAAACGGGATGCGTCGGTAAGCAAAGGTCCCCAAGGGACATGTGAATGTTGTCTTGGCTTGATCTTCTAGGGCAATTGGGATCTAGAAGTACCCTGACATCCCATCCAAGAAGCAGTAGTAACCATGCCCAACGAGTCTCTCCAGGATTTGATCAATGAAAGGCAAAGGGAAGTGGTCCTTTCGAGTGGCTTCGTTCAATCTTAGATAGTCAATGCACACCCTCCACCCCATCACCGTTCTTGTTGGTATAAGCTCTTCCTTTTCATTTGCTACCACCGTCATTCCTCCTTTCTTAGGGACCAACTGGGTTGGGCTCACCCACTGGCTATCTGAGATAGGGTAGATAATCCCGGCAGCCAGCAGCTTGATCACTTCTGCTTTAACTACTTCTTCTAGATTAGAATTCACTCACCTCTGCGGTTGCCGAACCGGTTTGGCCCCTCCTCCAGGTGGAACTTGTGTGAACAAAAGTTTGACCCAATTCCCCGGATGTCTGTGATCTTCCAAGCTATTGCCCTCTCGTGACGCCTGAGGACCTCAATCAATTCTACCTTCTGCTCGGGTGCAAAATTGGCGTTGATGATGACTGGAAGCTTCCCATCATCCCTCAAAAAGGCTTACTCGAGGTGAGGAGGTTGCGGTTTCAGTTCCAACTCGGGGGGTTCCTCTAGAGAGGTAGGGATTTTCTCCATTGAGGGTAATGCCTCTACTTCTTGGTCTTGCAGGGGTTGGCCAACATCCTCCGGGGAGTCCGGGGCGTCTATTACTACCAAACAACACTCCTCAAGAGGGTCAATAGTAAGGGCACCGTAGATGCGAGTGCCTCCATGAATTCAAAAACCTCTTCGCGGCAATCAAAATCATCATGGAAACAAAACAACTTCATGCTATCATCAATGGAGAATGTGACCTCCTCTTCTCCTACCCTAAGCACCAGCCTACCCCCATGCACATCAATCAAGGCCTTGGCAGTGGCTAAGAAAGGCCTCCCCAAGATGAGGGGGACCTAAACTTTCTCATCAATGTCTAAGATAACTAAGTCCATAGGAAACACAAGAGGTCCTACTTTAATGAGCAAGTCCTCCACAACACCTTTAGGTCGCACTACAGACCTATCTGCCAACTGAATGTGCATCCTAGTGGCTCTAAGTTCTCCTAGTTCTAACTTTTGAAAAAACTTATAGGGCATCACATTAATGCTAGCTATTAGGTCCGCCAAGGACTTTCCTATGCATACGTCACCAACGAAGCAAGGGATAGTGAAACTCCCTGGATCTTTGCGTTTCGGGGGGAAATGGTTTTGCACGAGGGCGGAGCATTCCTCATTCAAGCTCACAATGGCCACCCCCTCAAGCTTCTTCTTGTTGGTGAGGAGGTCTTTCAGGTATTTTGCGTACTTGGGCATTTGGGTGACGGCCTCCATGAAGGGAATGTTCAAATGCAACTGGTTCATCAACTCCATGAAGAGGGAGAACTCTGCCGCCATGCGGTCGTTGTGAAGCCGTGAAGGATAAGGGAGAGTTGGGGTCACTTTCCTCTTTTCTTGCTCCGGTTGAGGGGTCGGAGTGATATCCTCTTCTTGAGAGGTCGGTTTAGGGGTCGTAGAGTCGAGGTCCCTGTCACTTGTGGCTTTCGGGTGCGAGGGAAGGTTACCGCCCCCTTGTTGCTCCTCTGTTGTGAGTTGTTTCTTCTTACAGGGTAGCTCCTTAGCCTCTCTTCCACTTGGAAGAGTCACGGCTACCACATCAACTTAGTCGACTGAATTCCAAGACTGAGCCGCCTGCGAGATACCCCTTATGCTTGTGGCCACGTTGATCAAGTGAGTTTCCTGACTCTCCAACCCCGCCTCTATGGTCGAGAACTTCTATGTTGCCTCTCCAATGAATTTGTCAATTCTTTCAAAATTTTTGGAGCTTGAGGCGACAAAGTTCATCACCACCTCCTCAAGGCGGGTCATCCGGTGGTACTTTACGTCCTCATGGTTCCAACTTTCACCACACTCCATAAGTGTTGCTACCCCGCTTACATGCCCTTTCGAGCATCACCCTGATCAACTGATCTAACTTCGCTTCAAGTGGGGTCATACAACTTCCCATCAAAGTCGGGGCTTCCTAGGAGTCGGAGAGCCTGGTTTATGCCCTCTTCAAGTGGTAGCAAGGGTACCGGGTTGCTCCGGGTCATGCACCACCTAAACACAATCGGAAAACACCAAGTCTAGCACAAGCAAAGAACACACACACTTTCAAAACTGGAAATTAAAAGCTAGATTAATAACCAACAACTTTTTCAGAATAACATACCGTAGTCCCCGGCAACGGCGCCAAAAACTTGACTCGCACGAAACTACACCACAATTAAACCCCAATTAGAGCCCAAGTTTTTAAACTCTAATCGAGTGCAGTATAGGGCAAGTATTTAAATATCGACCCGGGCCGGTCCGTCTATCCCTACTTCCATTCTTGAACTCATTATCTAGCAAATAAACTTTGGTTTAAAAGGTTTTCTAATTGAAGTAAAAGAAAACAAAGGTGATTCGGTTTGAAAATTCTTTTGTGGGAAAGTCACTAGGGTTTCGCTTCCCCCTAACCGCTACCATGCTATGTGGATTGGAACGATTTCCTTGGGCAAGTTAATCGTGAACCGTCGAGGAATGCATATGTGGTCGGAGACCACAGTCTCAATTGCTAAACCGAGGTGAGGATGAAAGGTTGTGTCACTCGACCCTCTCGGTGTAGACAATCGGTAATTGACTTACTCTCTCACTCAACTCTAAGGTCGGACGGTTTAACCACGATTAGTTGACTTGTTTAATTCAATATGGAGGGTTGCCCTAACTCAACCTACTTTAGGTGGCTTAGAAAGCGGAAGGAAAATCAACTCAATTGAGTCTTACTTGAAAGGGGGATTTTCCTCTCTAAACTAGGCTAAGGTGGCAAATTAGATTACTTGCACCTAAATGCACTAACTCAGGGTTGCTAAGCACAATTATGCATAATCCCTAGGATGCTAAGCACAAAACATGCACAACCCCTAAGTTTCTAAGCACAAGCATGCACAATCATGGTGAATAATGCCTCAAACATTGAATTGAACAATACCCAATAATAATCATCCAAACCACATACAAGAAAACTACAAGGTAGAGTTAGGGTTTCACTACACCCAAGTGAAATGAGGCCTACTCCATGGTAGAAGTGGGAAGAACAAAAGGGAAAAAAGGTGGCAACCATCTTTGGGGGATGCCTCCTCTCTTCTTGACCCTTGAGTTGAGCTTTCCTTGGGGAAATCTTCCCAAAAATTTGCCTTGAAGCCAAACCATAACCTTCTTCTTCCCTTTGGTTCTGTTTATCTCACTAGAATGCTGAAGAAGGTGTTTCTCCCAAAAGTGGGCTCTCTTCTCTCTCCTCCTTTCGGCTAAGCTTTTAACCCGAGAAGAGCTGAGTTCACGGCCAGAGTTCACTGTCGTGAACCATCAAACGCTTTCGTTAACTCAAGGCGTGCACCAAAACTCTCCGCATCGCTCACGTCCGTTCACGGGCAACTGCTTGTGTTCACGGTCATAGTGACCGTGAACTCACCTTGCCTCAGTAACCTTTACATTGGATCTGGACGCCTCGCGATTCACGGTCAACTCTCCTTCTTCACGGTCTTTCATGACCGTGAACTCCTTCAGTTAACCATGAACTGGCGCTTTTTCACCTCTTCTCCCGGTTTTCAATCCTTTTCGCCAATGTTTTTACTCTGAGGCTGGTTTCACCTGTTAAATCCTGAAACACACTCAAACATGAAGAACCTAGCATAAAACCGATCTTTTAAGGAGCGAATTTGGCACAAACCTCTAAGTAAAAGGTGGGAAAAACATCTGCAATTAGGCCCGAATCACTCCCTCACACTTAGATGTTTGCTTGTCCCCAAGCAAACCATTGCACGCACACGGTAATATTTCAACCTACACAAAGGCTTTGGGGACAATTCAAAGGAAACAAAGCGGGAATTCTCGATGTTTATTGACAATCAACACATGAACCGTTGCAAGCAATACCGACATCCACCACAAACGACATTCAAAGCCACCAAAACGGGCACTTATCGACCACAACCAACCGCGCATGGAATTCAAGTCCGAACAACAAATGAAAAGGCAACGAAGGTCCTCACTGGGGTATGAAATGGTAAGTAAAACAAGAATGGATCACTCACTCTCAAGACCAGTGGGGTCGGGGCCTTTTTGGTGCAAAAGATGTACACAATCGTAAACTCTCGGCCCTATCGTCTCAATACCACGGCGGTAACTTCTAAATGCTAGAGTTCACGGGATGGTTGTCACCACTAGCTCGTCCGGAGGTCTTAGATACGGGTTCAGGTGAATGGCGATTGGCTTGGACATGAGGAAAAGGCTTTTTGGGTGGTGGCAATCATGGCGTGAGGTTCTATATCTTCAACCCTTTTCTTCAATCAAAGGGTTGGTTGGTGGCAAACGAAGGGTCTATGGTTTCGACTAAACCCTTCTCTTCAATCAAAGACCACTAGCATCGGTGAAAACCCTTATCGAGCCCTTCCAATTATCACCCATCATGAACTACCTTGAAGCACTCTTCCTCGGTCAACTCTTGCTAGTTCTTTAAGGTTTGGTAGTGAAGGAGTTCTAAACAATGTGGGGGTTTCGATGGCTTGGGTGCCAAGAAACCCCTCCTAGAGCAAGTACTTTGGTTTTTTGTGGTACTCTCTACTTTATTTACCCCATTTTATTACCTCTTTTTAGTTTCTCTTTTCTTTTTTTATTTTTTTTCTTTTCTTTTCGAGGGGGGTACTAGAGAGTAACAACCACATGCCTTGTATCCACCGGTTTGCCTTGTCGGGGAACATAAATCCACCAATCAATCTAATGAGGTAGATGACTGCATATCGCTCCACCTGATCTTCGGGGGTGTCTGACCCTAAATTAACCCTGCATTGAGTGGTGGATGCCCAACCCCTTCGACGGGCGTTGTGGTCGGCATGTTGAACCCCAAACGATCGAGAATCAACAACCCCCAGCCACCATCGGGTTTACTCGAGTTGCTAATGATGGCCTCTCCAGTGACCAGCAACTCGGTGAAGATGGCAACGTCTCTAAGGGTGATCGTCATTTCCCCCTCGGGAAAGTGCAAGGTATGTCGCTCGGGGCACCATCTCGCTGCCATTGTCGTCAACATATTGTTGTCGATATCAAGCCTCATGAAGTGCCTCAGCATGTGCAATGTCGTCCTCTCTAGATAGGGCTTCAGTCGAGGATGCCAAAAAGGCAATCGTGTTGTCCCTCGATGACTGATGGGAATAAGTGATTCATACAAAACAAAAAACACAATGTTGTTAGTCAAAGGAAAGCAAAATAAAAACTTTTAAACTAATGAAATAATTTACAAATTTATACGGTACAGAGTGTCTCCCGGATTATTGTCCCGAATTGCACGGGAGCGATGTTGTTCTTGCTCGTTTAATATCTTCGATCCCTTGGGCCAGGATCGATATACAATCAAGGGTTGTATATCTCAGCACCCATCTATAAAAAAAAATGTGAAATGAAATCAGATTATTTCAAACCCATTTAAAATAATATCACAAAAGAAAAAAAAACTAAGTACTCTTAGAGCCTCTTCATCCATTTTTTGGCGAAAGCTGGAGAGAGTATCGACGGAACTTTAGAGCAAAAGATTGTAAACAAAAAAAACTCTTGTAATTGTTTCTGATATGGAAGATTAGGGATGGCAATGGGTCGGGTCGGGGGCAGATAGTGCATATTCATTACCCTATCCAATGTAGTTCGGGTTTTACCCATACCCATACTCACACAAGAAATGAATAGAAAATTAAAACCATGCCCATACCCGTTCGGGTTTCGGGTATCCACGGTTATCCATGGGTAATAATTTCTCCTTATTATTCCAACCAATATGTTAACATTCACACGTATATTCACATTACGTAAGAGGAAAAGTACGACAATAATTCACTAGAATGACGAAAATTAATTAAAACAACATAATTTCATGAAAATATTATATTTATATGCTAAATATAAAATATTCTAGAGAAACATAATGATTATTTCTAAACAAAATACATATCCATGTGTATAATCGGGCGGGTTCGGGTTGGATAGTGAGATAACCATGCCCACCCATTACCCGCAATATTCGGGTTCGGGTTTTACCCGTACCCACAAAAAATGCTTCGGGCTCGGGTTTTACCCTACCCGATTAGGTCGGATTCGGGTGGATATCCACGATTACGGATATTTTTGCCATCCCTATGGAAGATCATACTTAGCCGCAACCATAGAGCATACTTAGAACGAAACTAGAGTGAAGGAATGTAGGGAGGAAGAAGTATAAAATGGTGATGTGGTTTGGAATGAGGAGGGAAGAGTGCTATTTATAGGGGGAAGTGGCACTGGAAATTTAGAGAGCAATCACCGCTCTCTTCAAATGCGGTGAAGTGCCCGCTTTTCTCGAAGATGGGGAAGCGTCTGGATCGCTGGCGTGGCGAGCTGTGAAGCGTCGGATCGATCTAGGAGAAAAACCAGAATCTGCGCTTCACCACATCGGACGTTAACGGTGAATGGGGCATCTCGACAGGGATCGCTAACGTGGACAGCGGGGCTTTCCCCGCATTTGTTTACAGCGGTGAATAGCCCGAGATTATCCACGTTAGCGATCCGCGTCCTCTCACCGTTCTCCTCTTTAACGGTCTTGGTTTTCCCCATTATTCTCTACTGCGGTGATCTTATCACCGTTTTTGTCGACAACAGTGAGTGTTTCACTGTCTTAGACGACAACGGTGACTTATTCACCGTTGTTGACAACGACGGCGATTATCATCACTGTCTTGGTCTATGGCGGTGATTATCAAACTGCTGTATTTTGAAAAATATTTTTATAACTACTGTATTTTAGGAATTTTTTTTAATAATTAGTATATTCTGGAATTTTTTCTTAATATATAAATCATGATTATTGGATCATATTATCCAATAACTATCCAAGATAGAAATATTTTGTAGGAAAGAAATACTTTTCGAACTTTGCTGTCTCCCATTTTCACCTGATTTGCTTGTCTTTTTCGCGACCCATTACTCACGATCAGGATTCTGTGTTAAATATTTAAGTAATGGGGGTTATTGGGAGTTGTTGGCTGCTTGATTTTTCTACCTTTTTATAAGAAAAAGTTTCTTCAATCAGTTGTAGACAGCAACGTTGCATGGCTCTTGTGTTTTCTGTATGAGAAAATAGGGTCTCATAGTGGGGAAACAGTTAAGTGAATCGAATGGAACCCTATGCGATTTCCACTAATCCTTGTTTTCTCGAATAATAATTATTAGAAGGTTGCTGGTCTTTGTCAATAAAGTTAAATAGTTTTGGGCCATTAGTAAAATTTGTACAAGACTACGATGGTGTGGTATCATAGTTAGGGAGCATTACATAATTAGTGTCAATGGCCTCTGTGTCTAAGGCATAATTAAGCCTATAAATGAGTTGAGTATGTTTTGGACTCGACTCATTATTAAACGAGTAGCGCCAATTGTTTCTATGTATAGGGCATGATTAGAACTATAATTGAGCACATTCAAGTTTAGTTTCAACTCATTATTTAACAAGTTGAACTCGAGCTTGCCTCATTAATAAAGGAACTGAATCCGATCGAGTTCAAGTTCGGCTCATTTATTCAAACCTTGACTAGTGTTTGTTTTGAGCTCTACTTGAACTCGGCTCAATAATGAGTTCGCAAGCTCTACTTCATAAGATAGACATGGACTGTTTCGCTTATAAGACGGTAGCCGAGTTGGCTCGCTGTTAGAAACATACATTTTTAATAATATCAATAATATTGGTATTGGTTGTAGGGATTACGACTAATTATGAACGGAGTTGCGTTAAGGTCATTATTAGGATTTTGGGCTTATTTTATATATAAATGTACTTTATGACATTACATCAAAATTAATCAGAAATCAATAATCACCCTATTGAGTTCATCTCTCCCTTATTCTTATTCTTCTAATCTCTTCGAAATTCCTAATTCTTTCTCTCAATCTCTAATTCCCTTTCTAATCTATTCGGGCACGTTGCACCAAAGTCAGTATAAATAGAAGGAATCAACAAAACAATCCACGCGGAATGTGGTAGAGAAATCCTACACAAAGGAAGATCAAACACTCCATGATTAGCAATAGGTCTCAAAAGTGATAGGAGTTTACTGTCTGTATTGCTTGAGTGGTTGTGAGGTTGTGTAGTTTCTCTCTTTATCGTGAGTGCTTGTGAGGAAGAGAAAAAGGAGTATATTTATCTATTCTTATGAAGGGTTTAAGTTCCACTCAAAGGATCTCAATTTTGAGTTAGATCTAAATAAGACAAAAACCTAGACACTATATCTACAAGGGTGAGCCACCTTTGAGACGAGACGTAATGCAATAGGTCAAACTCGGTTAACAATACATGTGTCTCTCCTTACTCTCATCTATTACGTGTTTGTTTCTCAACATTTACACTACCTTGCTTGACTAAGGTTAAAGACGATCTGATAAGGGCCAGAGCCCATCTCGATAAGCTCTTGGGCTTTAGCAACGTGTCAAGTCCAAAACATAATTCTACACGACCAATCCATAACTAATCCTATCTATTTGTCACATTTTATAAGATTATTTGTGTGCTACACTTGACATAACAGAGTTTAATCAGAAGCATATAGTGAATTTTCGTAGTGTGTCTACAACTAATGTGTAGCTCTTTATTTATCGTAGTTACAAGAAGGGGTTTTCTACTCTTTTCTCCTCTAAATTGGCCTAAAACTTTCTTTAAATTAGTGGCACACAAATTCCTTTGATTTGGGGACAAAGCAGGATCTTTTAGAGTCTTCTATGGCTTATAAGTTATAACCTTAGTTGCGGCGCAACAATGTTACCCACATTCCCTCGATTCTTTTGGGATTGGGTTGCTTGTGGGCCAATCAACTTCTCCATGCAATTTGGACTCCTATTTCAAATCCTAGGACTAACATCGATTTGACCCGCCTGTGATCCTCCCTTGATTCTTTCTTCTTTTTGTGTTGAGTTTTCTCTAGTGGGCTCCTCCTGGGCTCTAGTTGAGCCTTCCAGAAGACTTATCATTCATTAGGCTTCTTCTTATGGATGAAATACTCCTTTTATCTTTACAAATCTCATCTTTTGTCCTCCATAATCTACCAATATTTGATCTAATGTATCCTAGGTTGTATTTACCTTGAAAAAGCATGGAAACATACCAAAATGGCATAAAAAGATACAAATTCACAATGTATGGCTAATATTGGTTCATTGGTCAAATAGTTATGATATCCATAAAAATTTAGGTAAAAACTCCTAAAGATGCATAGAAAAGAGAGAAAATGTATCAATTTTGGGAGTGATAAACACTAGAAAAATCAAGAATTTTAAGTTTAAATGTCCCTATTGATTGTGCCACATTGTTAATGAATTTTCTGTCGTGGTCAAGGCAAGATGAAGAGGTTGTGCATCCGGCAACAACTCATTGACGTCTCCCCTATTCTGGCCATTCAGCTTATGTGTCCTCGTGTCTAGATCCTTCACAACAAAGAAAACAAAAACGAATTCCACAACAATAGGATTAGTCTTGTATAGGAGGGGAATGAAAATAAAATGTTGTTTAATAGTAGGGATGCAGAGAACATAGAACATAATGAAGAGATAAACTAGTCACAACATTAGACAAAAGTGAGTTGTAAATATGTGTAATCGTAAACCTTGACCCATCACCGACAAGAACCTTTCCCCGAAATTTATTATCAACATAGAGAGAGATTCAAGAGCAGGGGAAATGATTAGTTGCCACTAAATCCATCAATCAACCATGCCCACCAGTACCATAAGTAGCATAACGTGCTTGGGGACACCCATGAATGTTATAGGAATCCTTGGCCATGTGGCCAGGCTTGTCACAGAACTGTTAGACCAGGAGACCATGCCTAGACCCACAAGAGGCGGGAAAAAGGAGTAGCCCGAGTTGGAAGGAACTATGGCAAGGCTAATAATGCACGGTTGTGGCCACTGGTGATGCAGTGGAATTCATAGAGGGATTGTGACCATTGATGCTACAAGGAGAACTCAGTGGGAGGCTATGCAGAGAAATTAGAGCATCATTTAGGAGAGCCACAACCAAGGGAGGACAACCTCAATGACCCCCACTACCATGGTGCACATAAAATGTTGTTGTAGGATGGCAGACCGAGCAACAACATGATCAGCTTCTTAGTCGAGCAGCTTGTCATAAAGATACTCGATGGAGAGAATGAATTCATGATCATGAAAAGCGACTCCAAGTTGACTATAATATGCATTTAACCCTCGTGAGAGATGAACCATAAGATCTTTAAACATGGGAATTAATTAGTGTGAATTCAACTATAATGGTTGGATACATTATAAGTAGGCAAAAACATAGTGATCCCCTTGTTGTTCCATACCCAACTTGTCTTTTGAACTAATGTTATGTGACTGAGATCTATTGGCCCATATTTTATCGAGGACTCAGCAAGTTTGTTGAGAGGTTGTAGCGGTAGAGATATAGGGAGAGATAGAGATGGTTACCAAAGCCAGCAGGTCATGCAAAATAAATTGATCCTATATGTACCAGCAATTATGGTCAAAGTCTGAGTTGCCTGGATGAAAATGAGAACCGTGTAGATCCATTAATTATGCACAACATATAGGAGCCGTATGCAATAAGGCTATGCCTCTTTCTTTTATCCATCTAGGGGAAAGCCAAGCTCTAGCTAAAGTGTCAATCACGGGATGTGGAAGATTTCTTCCCTCTATGGAGAAGTGACAAACTAAGGGATCATATTACTTGATTCCGAAAACACACTTAAAGAGTCATTGTACGAAGAATGAAAGGGTTTCTAGGAACTTACTCATTCTTGACCTTGTCATGGCTTGGGCAAGAACAATTTGCATTCATCTTCGCAAAGGCCCCGACCTAACCGAGGCTCTCTCCGAGACAGTGCCCAGATCGTTACACCTTTCGGGTGGGTCGCACCATAGTGATGGTAAATCAAGATGCGGAAGGTCATGTGACACAAATGACTGCCCCTCGAGCTTTGGAGAACTTTGGGTCTATGGCTACAAAGTCTCAAAACTGGTCGAGGAGGACTTCTGCTATTTTTACTATAGAGTCTCAAAATAGTTGGGGTGAAGCTTTTTGCAAGCTTTATATTGGAATTTAAGCACATGTGTACCTTTAACTGACAATAAGATTTTTATGTTCTCCCTATATGAGTAGCATGTTGAATTTTGTACTTTTTGTAGCACATGTAGGTTCATTTTGCTTTGTACAGTGGTACATCACAGCCTTGATCAATAAATAGAAATTTATGCACCTTATCACTCACATAAAGGCTTAAATTAACCCATTTTCCTCAATCTGTGTGGGGAGTAAATGCTATAGAGGAGGTGTCAGAAGTTCTATTCATGCCCTCAAGCACAATTCTCTAATGACGCTTTACTCAATAAGCGATTGTACTAAATAAGCACCATCCTACGATCGCGAATCGATGCTTAGTTGAGTTGTTCCTATTCCCTCTGTCCAATGAGTATTGCCTCGTTCATAAGATGGGGTTACTTTGTCTTCTTCTACAACTAAAAAATAAAGGAGATTGTGGAACCGATCGGACAATCCCAACTCGCGACAAAGGGCAATTGATATATTAAACCAATCGGACATAATCAACTCGTGGAAAGGGGCAACTGCTATAGGGTAGCTGCTCGCCGCAACTAGATGCATTTTCTAGTTGATAAGAGACACATGAAATCCTCCTGGACTCCTCGATAGAAAGCTTGCACAAATGTTCATGAATGAAGACGAGAATACTCTCTCAACTTTATTGATAACTTGTTCGAATGATGGGTACAAAATTCGTTGGTCTTACACATTCTATTTATAGAGGTCACAAAAACATAAAACTAACCTTCTAGGAGAATTATACTGTCAGGGATGAGAGAGAAAGCTATCCAAAAAATGATGAGAGAGAAAGCGGAGAGGGAGAGCGGCTAGAGATTCCGAGAGGGAGAATGCTTTGGGTTGGGAGGGGCATATGCTTTTTTCTCTTGATTGCAGGTACAGGCATCAGTGTGTGTCGGGAGTCGGGACGACGGTGGATCTTCGAATGGATGTCAGTTGGCATATCATATGGGGTCTAGGCTCGTCACGATTAGTAAATGCTTCTTTTGTGGGGAACTTGGTTACAGGTTACAGATCAAAGATAAGAGCAAGCAATGGTTTGTTGTCAAGGATGCCCGTCAACTTGCGTGGCTCCAAGGAGTGCGACAAATAGTGGCAATGAAAAAATGGAGGTTTCCGGCTGGGGGTTTGAAAAGGAGCGGATCGCGAGCGATTCACGTAGGGGTTAAGCTATATAAGCAGAGCAAGTATCTGCAAATCGTCGAGCAGGGTTCCAAAAGGAAAACCTTCAAAGTCCTCATCCCTACGACTGGCGAACCTCAACGTTAGGCAGGCATTATTTTCTCCTCCGGGATTTCTACCGCCATGAGCATCATCTTCGGATTAATGATATGGTGGGTTTTAGCTTGGATGATGAGATCCTCGCGGCTCCTTGTTTATCGGAGCCCTCCGCGACCTCCAGGTCTTACGCTAATGTTGTTAAAGGAGGAGGCTTCTGTGGTGCAGGTAGATGCAACATTGTTAAAGACTCTAGAGGTGGTTTTGTTCAAGTTGGTACGGAGGGAGTCAAAGAAAGGACTCTTACACTGGATCGCAGCCTGGTTATCGGCTTCATCCCTTCATCTTCTATTGTTTTCATTAGTGATCAGGTAGGTGAGTTCAGAAGGTTTGCGGAGCATAATTGGGGCATTGACATTAATTACGGCTTAGAAGATCTGAAAGATGGTAGATGGCTTTTGTTGTGTCCAAGACTGAGTGAATTGTTGTGTCCAAGTCTGATTGACGTTGCTTCTTTTGTTCAGCCTTAATTGGTTTATGTTTTTACAATTTAGGCAGTGTTGTTAGAACTATGAGATGTTTGTTATCATGTCTTTTTGATATGATCTTCTGATCAATTGGACTTAAATAAAATTATAGATGAATTTTTGGAAATAAAAATTTACTCATAAAATTAAGTTGATTCCGACATGCAGAATGAAATACATTTATATATATTTTTTAGAGGAAATTTTTGGACCATTAAAAAATGTAGTCATGATTAGGTATATATGCACGATGGATGATGGTTCAACTTATTCTCTTTTGGTACAACTATGGAACGAAACCGTCTTATCATGAATGACATAGCATAGTACATCACGCGTAAATCGTAATAGCGAACCTAAAAGTTGTGACCAGGGGTGTAATTACATGCACCCATGTTTTTACTATCTGTATTTGGGAAATTATAATTCGAAAGGAAATGAACTCATGAAGTAGCCCAATGCATGTTAGAGATTTCATAGGATAGAGATCCCAAAAAGAAAAGATTGGATGCTCTCCCTCAATATCGGATAAAGAAGGGAGCTAGCTATCCTTTTTCATTTCTTTTCTGCTACTATTTGGAAAGAAGGAGGAAATTTTTGGGCACTTAAAACTTAAAAGGAGGGTTGTAAAAACCTTTGCAGGAAAAACACCTTTCCATTCTACATGAGAGCACTTTAAGCTCAACAAAACCCAAGAAGAGAGTGTTGCTCCTTTTAACAACCTCAAAAGCAAAGTTGGGGTATGCATGCATGTGGTGTGGGTCACGTCACGTGCCTGGCATGTGGGATGCGTTTACTAGTAGTGGTCCTTTTTTGATGATGGACCTGCTTGGAAGACACCACAGAATTTGACCAATGTAGTTGAACTCTTTGATTTTGCCCCATTATTTTGTTATATATATATATATAAGGATTAGATTAGGTGGATGTTATCCATTTGTCTTATTTTAAATCGTCCCAAACAGTTCTATAGATGGGAAACTTTAATTTGTTTTGTTTTAATATCTCTGTTTTCAGCAAAGCATCTGATCCAAATGTCCCATAATGCACCAAATATAGTACCCATTTTCACTAGAATACTTCATCCATTATGAGCTAGACCAACCTGATTTTGGTTGATTTGGATGAAGAATTGTGCATGCCATGCATTCTGAAAAATAATTACCGTATAATAAAATTTCTCCATATCTTCTTCCAAAATTTTGGATTTTTTTTTTCAAAATTGGATACATATCTCATCTTTCATTCAAAATCAAACATGATTTAAAAATCTCTTGAGAGTTGTAAAAAAATCACTGACGAAATACATAATCAGAAAATGAAATATTATCAAACAAAAAACAAGTGCACTTTTTGGATTAGTCCAGTGATAATAGCACTAACTTTGAATCTGGAGGTCACAAATTCAAATCTCTGAAGTAGTACCTAATCACAAAAAATAAATCTATATCATATTTTTCTATAAGAAAACCAACAAATCCACTCAACTAACAAGGAAATCGGTACACATATTCCCCTCTCGACAGATATGAAAAATCTTTCACTTCCCAATGACAAATAAAACAACATTCGGAAACGATGGATGGATGATGGTTGTGTGTTGATGATCCAATTGATAGCAATGACAAATTGAATTAACAAAATCTATTATGAAATCCATCAAACAAACAATGGTGTTTATCAAATCCATAATAAACTCAAAATTCTCATATATCTATAATTTTTCAAAATCCAAGTTATACAAAAACTTTCATTTTTCAAATTCACTATGACTCTAAAGTCTGATTCAAACCTATGGAAACGCGGATTTCAAAAGGGTTTGAAAGTCCTGGGTTTCTGAGAAGGGACACATCACACAAGAAAGAATGGAGGGAAATACAAGGAGAGAGAGAGAGAGAGGAAGGTGGACAAGGAAAGGTAACGTTGAATCATTAAAAAAGGGAAAGGGAAAGCCAATGCAATGCAATGCAATGCACTCATTTCATTTCCCACTCAAGGCAGCAGCTGCCTGCTGCCATGCTGCAGCTCTCATCTCACTAAAGTTGCCAGAAACAGCAAAAGCACACAATGCCCTCTCACCATCCCAATCCCATGGAGTTTTCAACAATTTCACGCTTTCAGTCTTCCCCTCCTCCTGCTCTGCTTCCTATAAGTCCTATCTTATCAAATCAGTCTCACCTTCTTCTTCACCAAACCCACACAAAACCATGTAAACTCGTTGCCCAATGCCAGGTCACAAGTGATGCATCAAATAAAGCAAAACAACTCATCCCCCCATATTCCACCACACCTCTCTCGGTATTTGGGGGTTCGATTCGATCAGAGGCCGAATGGATCGATGTCGTTGGATCGTAGCTCACGTAGTCTCGTTCGTTCGTTCTGCGTGGCAATGTCATTCACCTAGTAAGCTGAGATTCACCTCATGTTTAATGGTCTAATCCAATGTTAATCGATTCCGACTCTGAATGAGATTTTGACCAGATGATACAAGATAGTGAGGCTGATTTATCCATATTTACCATACAGCTAAGTAGCTAACCAGTCTCTTTCAAGCCATTAATGGCCCAAGAGTCATAAAAGTCTCTGTTTCCAATAGGAACACTGACTCTCTCTCTCTCTCTGACTCCCCAGAGCCCCATCTCATTTCTTGATGTTTCCACTGATCAATGATCATCATCATCAGCTGCAGCCAGTAGCAGCAGAAGCATTCAATCTTTTTACCAGTGGCAGTGAGGAACAATCAATTTCTTCCCTTCCCCATGCATATCCATAGAAAAACATTGAAAACCCAAACCAAACTGCATTAATAAACCCTTCTCCAATCTCAACCCCCTACTATACACAAACAACTTCCAAACAGTTAAAAACTCCCCCTCACTATCCTCTCTAAATTCCCCCATAAATAGAAACGAAAAAGAACACTACAGATTAAGGAACTAACACCAAACCCTTCAATGAAATTGCTTAGAAGAAGAAAAAACAAACAGCACCACCCTTCATTTCCCTATTCTTATAGGACAACAGGGTTAAGCAAACTAAAACCCCTCACTTCAAATGCTGAGAAGATCCGGCGGTGGAGACTGAGGTGGCTGCTGCTGCTGCTCTTTTGATTCCTTACCTATAGCTGCAATTGGAGAGTCCAAACTTGAAGTCGACTGTGGCGAGTCAGTGACCGTGGATGACTCAGTTGCCGCAGCAGCTTGTTTGAAACCCGGTGGCTTAGGAAGCTCGGTCAGAATCTGCACAACTTCCCTCATCGTCGGCCTCTCCACAGCCTGCTCCTCGACACACAGCATTGCAACATAGAACACGTGCATGACCTCATGGAGAGGAACAGTTGAGAGGCGAGGGTCTAACACTTTCAGAACGCCTTCCTTGTTCGAATCGGTCATCTTCCGAACCCATTGGACAATGTCCACACCATCACCGAACTCTCCCACCGGTTTCCTGCCTGTGACGAGCTCCAGCAGGACCACGCCGAAGCTGTATACATCGCTCTTCTCGTCAACCTTCAACGTGTAGGCATACTCTGTATCAAAACATGAGGAACCAGACAAATATTAATTAATGATCTTGGTCTGGACTCGGAGGGTAAAAACTTTGTACTAGATTGTTGTTAGATTTTGGGTCCAATAAATTCGTATGAGAAGGACACAACAATAACAGGATTCAAAAAGGAGTATTATTTGTTGTCTTTATAATCCTTGATTGTGAAGGCTCATCGGTTTGACAAAGATGAAAAAAGATAGATAGGTGTACTATCATTAGTGGGTTATCAGTTAAAACGAATCATTTGGTGGATGTACTTCCAGGAGCTAGCTGACTCCCACCTAATTCCAAAACCAAACTCCACCAAATTTAAGATATTCAAATAATTAGCATCTTGTCGTGTTATATGGTTTGAACAACCACTGAAGTCAAGATAAGATCAAGGCACGAAAGACAGACTTTGGATCTACACCAATTAAGAGATCTTCATACTCAGAATCTCCCTTTGCTGGTCACCTCAAGTTTCATTTGGTTGGGCAGCTTATAAGTAGGAAAGGAAAGACATAAAGACCCTGAAATGTTTTACCTGGGGCGATGTATCCATAAGATCCAGCAATTGCAGACATGCACTCAGACGTTCCAGAATCTTGCAGGAACTTAGCGAGGCCAAAATCAGCAACATGAGCTTCGAAACTGGAGTCCAAAAGGATGTTGTTTGATTTCACATCACGATGAACAATCAAAGGGGAACAATCATGGTGAAGGTAGCAAAGCCCCTTTGCAGCCTCAACAGCAATTCTGTATCTTGTAGTCCAATGCAAATGACCACCTTTCTTGCCATGAAGAACTTCGCCTAAACTTCCATTGGGCATATACTCGTAAACCAAAAGATTGGTCTCGTGATTGGAACAGAATCCCAATAACCTGACAATATACCTGTGCCTTATCCTCCCCAAAGTTTGAATCTCAGCATTGAACCCATGATCATGAGAAGACCCCCGGCTCATTGCTGGGAGTCTCTTGACAGCAACATGATCACCACTTGCCATAGAACCTTTGTAGACTATCCCAGCACCGCCTTTCCCAATAATATTATCTTCTTTCAAGCAGTCCAAAACATCGTCGACAGTGAAGTCTAGGCGCTGGAATGCAGTCAGTTTCCAGGCACGAGAGTCACTAGCCTTCTTCAATGATCTTGCCTTGATGATTGCAGCAACTGCAAAGGCAATGGAGCATACAAGCAAACCAATAACCAGCAAGAGCTTCAGAGAAGCAGAGAGTGGGCCTTTAGCATGTGGTTGGTGGGTTGCATTTGCAAGGACCCCGTCTTTGCAAGGACCCAAGTAAGGACCGCAGAGATCCGGATTACCCAGAAAGGAAGTGTAGTTAAAGTAGCTAAATTGACCAGTACCAGGGACTAAACCAGAGAGATTGTTGTAAGAGAAATCAACAGATGTTAAGCTCTGCATGGTGGAAATGGGTGGAGGAATGCTGCCGATGAGATTGTTTCTCGATACATTCAGGTAGTTCAAGATCCTCATCGCTGTAATCTCAGTCGGAATCTCACCGGAGAGTTGGTTTCGACTCAGATCCACGAACGTCAGCAGCTTACATTGACTGATCTCAGGTGCTATTGGCCCTGATAACTTGTTATGGCTGAAATCCATCTTCGAGAGCTGCTGTAGCTTTCCGATCTCTGAAGGGATTGAACCCTTGAACTGATTTCCATCGAGAAGCAACTTCTGAACACCGGAGAAGTTGCCGATAGTCGGAGGTAATGGCCCAGAGAGCTGATTGTTGGAGAGACTGATTTGGCCAAGATTCATGGCTACAGCATCGGTAGTAACGGGAAACTCTCCGGTCAATAGATTGTCTTGAAGCTCCACTTGGGTAAGCTCCGGCAACCCTAAAAGACCACTTGGTATGGATCCGTTCAAGAAATTTTCCCCCATTCGAATTCGACTCAGCGACTCGCATTTTCCTAGCGATACCGGGATCGGCCCGAAGAGGAAGTTGCTGAGAGTAATCAGAGTCTGTAAGCGATTACCATTACAGAGATCGGGAGGCAGAGTTCCAGTGAGCTTGTTGGAAGAAAGATCCAGAATCGAGAGCCTGCCATTACTGCCCAAACCTTGAGGAATGCTTCCGGTGAAGTTGTTCTCCCAGAGCTGCAACACCTCAAGCTGGGGCATCTCGCCGATGAACTCCGGAATGGCGCCATGGAGCTTGTTTCTGAAGAGATTGAGGAGGGTCAAGTTCTTGAGTTCAGCGAAAGCCGGTGGAATCTCCCCTTGGAGCATGTTGTTGGACAAATCCATGGATTTCAAGCTCTTTAACTTGCCCAGCTCCGGCGTCAGTGGTCCTGAAAGGCCGTTCACTTGAAGGAACAATGTGTCCAGCTTCTGTAACCTCCCGATTTCCGGCGGTATCTCGCCGGATAACCCGCAATTAGCGGCGTCGAAACGGACCAAGTCGGACAAGTTCCCGATCTCAGCCGGAAGACCGCCTTCGTAGCTATTGTAGTACCCAATGTAGAGCTGCTGCAGGGTGGTTAAGTTCCCCAGCTCCGGCGGAATACTCCCGACCAGCTCGTTACCGGAGACCGCAAGGTACTCGATGAACTGCCACCTTCCGTACTCCGACGGGATTTTCCCGGCGAAGAAGTTGCCTCCCAGGTGCAAGTGGCGGAGATTGGGCATTTCAGTGACGGTCAGCGGCAAGTCGCCGGTCATATTGTTGTTGTACAGGTCGAGAACCTGGAGATTCTTGAGCTGGGCGAGCTGATTGGGGAAAGTGCCATTGAAGACATTGTTGGAGAGATTGAGGAGACGGAGGCCGGAAACGGCGGAGAGCTGCGGCGGGATAGGGCCGGAGAACTGATTGGCGGCGAGTGAGAGGTTCTGGAGGTACCTGAGGTGGGCGACGTCAGGCGAGAGGGTACCGGAGAGGTTGAGGCCGGAGAGGTCGACGGAGGTCACGTGACGGCGGGAGAAGTCGCACGTGACTCCGGGCCAAGTGCAGACTGCGGCCGAAGAGTTCCAGGCGGTGAGGGCGGATTCTGGATCGTCGGTGACGGCGGATTTGAGGGAGAGGAGAGCTTGGGATTCGGACAATACGCGAGCGGAGGAAGTAGAGATATGGAGGTGTAAGAGAATGAGGAGGAGGAAGAAAAGGAATAGAAGCCTCATTCTGTTTACTGTTTGTATCCTTTTCTTTTCTGGGGGTTGAGAAAGAGGATCGTTTTCTTCTTCGCCGCGGCGAACGGCGGAGGAGAGCAGAGGGGGAGAGTGAGAAGTAACGGCGGAGGGGTAGGACTGAGAAGGAAAGAAGAGGAAGGAAGGTAAGGTGTGTGGTTCACTGGTTTGGTTTACAACCTTTGAGATTTAAATATTTGTGTTTTTTTGTTTCCTTTTTTGTCTGCATCCTAATAAATTATTAAACTCTTTGCTTTTTGTTTTGGTTTATGAGAAATTATTGGCTACTCCGAGAGTACCACGTAGGATTAGTGATGTGGTACTCCCGGCCAATAGGTAACCACCAGGTGTCATTAAAATTTGATAAATATATTTATTGCTGGAAACTTTTCTATTTATATTTTTAATTTATTTTTCGTGCAATTAAAGTCCCTCTCTCATCCCACAATAAAGCAAGATTAAACCCTCTTTCTTCCTCCTCCGTTTCCCCAGCCGTCGAGAAACCACCGCCGGGAAAACTGCCCCTTTATCGGTGTCTCCGCCATGATATCATCCAACCGAACGGAGATTGAAGTCCTCTTCCTCCCAGCCACTGTCGAGAAGCCACCGCCGGGAAGATCGCCCCTCTTTTCGCCTCCTCCTTCGTTCTCCCTACCGCCGAGAAGCCACCGCCGGAAAGACTTTGGTCCAGTCTCGAGCACGATGAGATTCAGATCGGTGTCTCCACCACGCCATGATCTCAAACCCAATGGAGGTTGAAGACCTCTTCCTCCCCGCCGCCGGGAAGACTTTGGTCCAGTCCCCCAGGCACAATTAGATCTGAATCGGTGTCCGCGACGCGATGATATCCAACCCAAATTCATCGTCAACCCAAAATCACCATCGATGATGCTTCTGGCGACCCTTTTCTTCCTCCCAAAACAAAAAATTGACGGGCCGGAAAAGGGGTCTCGAAGTTTGGTGGTTGTTTATTAAAGGTAATTAACACAAAAGAAAATTTTAAATCCCAATTAAAACGTCTCCATAGAAAAATGCTTTAATGAAGTTAAACGGACATGTGTCGAGTGGTTATTGGCCGGGAGTACCACATCACCAATACCACGTGGTACTCCCGGTGTAGCCAATAATTTCTCTTGGTTTATTTGTTTGGAAAAACCGTTGTATATCCACAACTATCACGTTTGTGACAAATATATCCACAACTATTGAAATACACGAAATATCCAATTCCGTCTAATGCTCTAACGACGTCAATTAACAGTCTGACTGGATTGACGGAATGGGCTGAGTCGGCGATATTTGGCCCCACCATTACACGTGGATAATGAAAAAAATAAAACGATGAAATCCTTCTTTTCCTCTTCCCATCGTCTTCCCACCTCTCTCCTTTTCTTCCTCAAAGCCCCATCTTCGATCTCTCTCTATTGCCTCGCTGTGTCCGATGATGCAGAAGAAGTTGGATTTTCGGCGGCGCATCTCACTTATCCCACCCCTTTTGCCATGTCGTTCACGTACGTAATCGCCTCCAAGTACCAACACAAACGCCTCTATTGAATCTGGGTTTTTGGGTTGAAGCTTAGAAGTCAATCGAAGTTGGAAATGATTCCATTCGAATCAAACTTGGAGACTCGGAGCTCGAATCTGGGTTTCTCGCTGAAGCTCGGAGGTTGAATCGTAGTTGAAGGCTGAAGCTCGATGCCGATTCGTTCAAATCGAACTCTTAGGCTCGGAGGTCGAATTTGGGTTTCTGTGGTGAAGCTGAATCCGCCGCAGCGGCTGTCCTTGCCCTCAGTCGATCTACACTAGCCTCATCTTTAGTGGTCAACCGGTCGTTGAGGAGCTCGACGTCGCTAGGAGAGATATTGAGACAGGAACTTCCCTTTGAAGCAGCCGCCGAAGGACTCTGTGAAGGCTTCGAGGTTGGACATCTCAGCGAGTTCACTATGAATCGAGTCGGCTGAGTGAGGACGCCGCCAGGTCTTCTTCCATCCGCGGTCGATGTGGGGGGTTTTGTCATCCTCTGCTTGATGCGATTTGGGGGTTTTCCAATCCTATGCTTGCTTCGATTTGGGGGTTTTCAAAACGGCGGTGGGATTGGTTTCCTTCTGAGAAAGAAACAGAGAGTCGATTGAGCAAGTGGGCAAGCCCAGATCGTCGATTGCGAAAGCAAAAGACCAAGATCGATGTCGGCGACGAGAGCGTGAGAGGAAGCTAGAGGAGGAAACAAAGCTCGTCGTTGGGATTTGGCCGCTTGGTAACGAAGCTCGGCGTCGGGATAGCGTGGCCGGAAATATGGTGTTGATCGCCGAAAAAATTTTAATTTTTTATTTTTTATTAATTAATTTCTGACGTGTCATTTAACTCTAATATTATGCTGATTTGTTGCTGACGTGGACGATGATTTGGATCCTAGTCAGCATTCCGTCACAATAATTAACGGCGTCACTAACACCGTTATAGTTTCAGACGGAAGTGGATAGATTTGTCACACAACCTTCTGATTGTTGGATATTTCGTGTATTTCGATAGTTGTGGATACATTTGTCACAAACGTGATAGTTATGGATATACAGTTGTATTTTGCCTATTTGTTTTTACGTTGTTATGTTTTGGTAAGAGTAGAGATGAGGGCGGCATTACTAGTTTGCTCGCTGTGTGCCTGTGTCTATCTAGTTTGTGCGGATGATGAATGGTATTGGTACTCATGTATTTGCAATGCAAAAGTTCTCTTGTTTTTAGAGGATTTTTTTACAATAGATAATCATATATTAATCGAAAAAGATAGTTACATCCTGGAATTTAGTCAGGCAATAAAATCAAAAGATCGACATGAAGTCGGGTACAATGACAGGGCCTTTCTAGCCACCACATGGGCTACCCTATTGTTCCTACAGCCAACAAATCGCACACTAAGTCCATCATGGAGATTGAAATAAGACACCACCTCATGCAGCAACGCCCCCACCCTTCCATCCCTTGTATCAGACCGGTTGATCTTATCGATCACAACCTTCGCATCACCCTCAAAGCAGATTGTATGGAACCCCAGGCTAAGACACCAAAGGACAGCCTCCCTGAGAACAAGCAGCTCTACCGTCATTGGATCGTCCATATCAAGCAGCTGAATCCCTAAAACCCGGATAACACCCCCAGACCGCTAACTGATAACCATCCCACCAAGCGAATGAGAGCCAGCTTTTGTCACCCCATCCCATTGACAAACCACCTCAAACGGGTTAACCAAGGCCATGGCCCGGGGAATCGAACACTGAGGCCGACCATCCCGATCCCTAGGCTATGGAATCCATTTGTTGTACTGTTGGGTAAATTGGCGCATTAAAGCCGGAATACCAAATTGTATACCCTAAAAAACTACCCAGTTCCGGGATCGCCAGATACGCCACAGGAGCATTAGAACAACGAGAAACCGGTCTGGTTGCGTAAGCCGAAGCATTAACTTTTTGAGGAAAAGGGGGAACGTGTCACGCGGCAAAGCCTGCCCCAATTGGTTCAACCCTGAATGATCACATAACGCCCTCGCCACCGGAAAATCCAGAAACAAATGCTCCATTGTTTCAGACGTAGCCAAGCAAACCGGACACCGCTGGAGTACCTGTACCTCTTTCTCAATCAGAGCCTCTGTAGTAGGGAGGAGCCGATTGAAGACTTGCCAAGCAAATATCTTTAGTTTGGTATGTGATATTTCTGTTTGAAATATAGTAATTGAGTCTAATTTTCTTGTTTGGATAGAACATTCATATGTTGTGGTATTTCACCACTTAAAGAACGAAAGAGTGAGTTAATTGAAATGTCTAGGAGGGAGAAGGTATTTTAATTGACTCATTATGCATCATTTCAACTGCCACGGGCCATAAAATAACTGGTGCTCTAAAACACAACACCTAACAATGGCCAAGTGTAACCAATGAAAGGGACTGCAGTATAGTGGCACAAGTAATAAATATCGAATCCACGGGTCTCTAGAGTTACTATTACTCAGCTTCAGTTCATTATCTAGCAAACTAGATTAAGGATTGATTAACTAAACTACTCTACTAACTAAACTAAGTAAAACTACTAATTACAGTTTGGGAACTCACTTAGGTATGATTCCCCCTAGCTCCTCAATTAGGTCCAAGTTGTAATTCATTTTGGTTGATTTACTGTTGATTAAACTGCGGAAGATCCGACAGTAGCTTGGAATCTCTTAAGCTGACCAAGCCCTCTCAGTCTAACTATCCGGCAGACGACTAGTCTTCACCGGGATAGAACGCTGAAGCAATAAGCACAGAACTCCACTACTGGAATGAATTCCAGTACAAAGCAGTGAATTGATTGACTCTCGCACAACCAATTCACTACTATCAATCAAGGAAGCTCTCTTAACCTAATCAGATTCTATCTATCATAGGTTAAAGCAGAAATCAAGAGAATTTGATCAAGATCCAATTGACTCAATAAATCATGCCTCAATCGATTATAATCAAACAATAAAGCATCCAAAACTTCATACAAGAAAGATCCTAACTCATGGAACTAGGGTTCCTCAAAACCTAAGTGAAGAGAAGTTACTCCATAGAGAAGAGAGAGACTGCAGAAATCTGATCTAGATCTTCAATCTCCATCTCCAAGCTTGATTCCCGAGCTCCAATGGCGAAGAAATCCTCCAAAATAGCTCCAAGAATGTTCCCAAGTCGCTCTCTCTCTCTAGGGTTCGTCCCTTGGGTTTTTGGGATCCAAAACCCAGCTCTCCCTCCTCTTTGGTTCGGAATTTGGCTTAAAACCAGGAAATCCCGACTCGCACGGCCAGGGTGCACGGCCGTGCACATCACCATTCTGGCCGTGCACCTCAAAACGCGGCGTATCAATTAGTTGAACCTCAGCCAACTCGCACGGCCAGAATTGTATGTTGCACGGCCGTGCGTGGCCACGCACAATCCCGTGCGTGCCCACGCACAATCCCGCACGGCCAAACTGGTCACTTGCACGGCCGTGCGTGGCCACGCTGGTCTGCCCGTGCAGCTTGCTCAGCCTCTGTTTAATGCTTCGTTTCTCCCTCGTCCGGACTCCGAATCAATCGCCGTTTGATCCCAGACGCTCGTAGTCTCGTCCTCTTTCGTTTCATAACAAGCTTGCATGATTCTTTGTCCATAAAGTGAGGTAGAAATCCATTCTTCTTCAGGTCATGCCCGAGTTTCTTCTCTCGAATCGTCAATTGATCTCTGATTGACTTGAAACTTGCGCCTATGCTTCACTTTATGTGCTAGGACCTGAAATGGGACAAAGGAACACAACCTAGCATAAAATAGGCCAAAGACGCAATAATTCAAGCTCAAACAATCAAGAAACAAAGGAGAAAACATGTGCAAATACCGAGTCATCAAATCCCCCCACACTTAACTGTTTGCTTGTCCCCAAGCAAACCTAACTCAAACCAATGCAACTCTCCAGACCTCTATAGCAACAAACAACCCAAATCGTAGGTAGAGGACTTCCTAGATCATTTAGCAGCTTACGAGGTCAACCGACGCACAAGTCATCTCATAACTTCTTCGGCGAGTCGGCATCATGGCAAATAGTGAACAGAGGACAAATGAATTGTGGATGAGGAGATTCTCAAAAACAACAGATCATGGACTCACATTTTTCAAGGTGCTCTATTTTCTGCTTCTTGAAGATGGTTGAGACCCCCTTTTTTTTGTTTTGCTTGTTTTCTGATATTTTTCTTTTCTTTTCTTTTTCAAGGGTCCCAACCTGCTCTTACCGGCCATGCCAGGAGCGGATGTCTCGAGCCTCGTGCGGGGGAAAGACATGTAAGGGGGCTGGAGGTAGTAGGTGGAAATTGGGAACGAATTCCCGTCTCCCCTTACACACTTTCGCCCTATTCGCACGGGAGACGTTATTTTGAAGCACAATTTCGAGCACCTGTTAAACTCAAAACATGATACAAGAGTCCATGACAGGTAGAGAATCCACAACACCACACAATTCAAGGATCCTAAGATCACTAATTCACTCAATCAACCAACACAATATGAAGAAGCAATGAGACTTCTTAAATGCATCAACATCCTCCATAGTGCTACACTACCTCCCTAGGTTGCATATTACTGTAAAGACTGTCAATTCAAAGCATACTGAGCAGGCAATTGCATGGAAACACGTACTTGGACTAGGCTCCAAGCACACAAACAGCCAAACATTCACCCGCATACATAATCGAACATCCCCCCACACTTAAGCACGACATTGTCCTCAATGGAGGAAAGATAAGGAGGGTAGAACGAAGTTACCAGATCAAGGGTGAATGATGATGTACGGGTCAGGCAGTGCATTCCAGGAAGAGAGAGTAATCAGAACACAAACACCACACAAAATCTCACAAAGGTTGAGTTATTGACTCTAAAATCAAATAACAAAACTGACTCAACCGAGGAGAAATAGAGAAAGAAATGCAAACCGACTGGTTGGGTTGCCTCCCAACAAGCGCTTCTTTCACGTCGTGAGCCGGACGATGGCTCCTAAGTTTCGGTCCATGCTAGAACCTCCTTGAAGTTGAGGTTCTCGTCGATGAGGTGGAGTCGCAAGTCATGAGCATGTGGTGTGGCAGGTGATGAAGGCTCATGTACTTGATGCAGATGAAGTCTCCACCCTCGAGACCTCTTCTTCTCTTCTCTCGTCTCATTGCCCCAAACCAGATATGACAGCATCGATTGGCCACCATCGCGTCCACCAAGAGGGACCGATGTCGATGTGGCCTTGGTCTGGCAAAGAGACACTGCAAATGGGTCCTTGCCAAGCAGTTCCTCAAAGTTTGGTGGGGATATTACTTGCAACTCATGGCCGGTGCATGCCTCTTCCACCTCAACTTCATCCTCAGCCTGGACGCCAATTGCTTCCTCAACCTCCCTTTCTTCTTCATGTGGTATCACCCCTGAGAAAAGATCAAGAACTCCTTCTGCTTCACTTTTGTCATCCTTCACAACTTCTTTCTGCACCCTTTCTTGCTCTTCTTCTTCCAGCACGAATTGGAGAGCAAGTCTCCATGCAAGGTTCTCGATAAGTTCAGCTTGCATCTCCTCACTCGAGCCCAGCATGTCAGAGCGGAAATGGTGAAAGTTATGATCTACCACCAAAGGATACACTTGATCATGATTATCATGGGAGCTTTCTATGACAACTTCTGTATGCTCCTCAACATCCTCATGATTGCCTTTTTCTTCCTCCTCCTCTACTTGTATGGCAGCATAAAGGTTGTCTTGAGAAAACTGTGAACAAGCTTTCTCAATGACCTCTAGGTGCTTCTTTATGCTCCGGATGGTATCCTCTGTTTCACGGGGGAAGGAAAAGTCAGTTTGGGCAATGGCCTGGATATGAGGATCCATCTCGGGAAAAGATCTCTCAGGTACTCGAGCAATCTGCTCCACGAGAAGCCTCAATTCATAGTTTGGATCTGGCTGTGGAGTGTAGCATGGCTCTGCAGAATGGCCCGTGAAGGCCGCCATGGGTAACTCCAGATCCGATGGCCCTTCTTGTTGTGGGAGGAATTCTTCTTGATAAGGAGATTGTTCTTGATATGCCCAGGGGTCTGGTTGTTCTCCGTAGAAAGGGGGTTGGTACTGGAATCCGAATCCATAGTCTTCTCCTCCTTGATTGCTCCAGGGAGTCTCAGGGTAATACCACCCGGATGGTGGTGGATACCCCCAATGATTGGAGAAGCCATTAGGATCCATGATTCAGATCTGCACCAACAAAAACAAAAACACCCAAGTGAAAAGCAAGGGTGGAAAAGAAAAGAAAAACGCTAAAGTAACAAACTTCTGCCTTTCCTAATACTCTAGAAAGTCCCCGGCAACGGCGCCAAAAACTTGGTGCTCTAAAACACAACACCTAACAATGGCCAAGTGTAACCAATGAAAGGGACTGCAGTATAGTGGCACAAGTAATAAATATCGAATCCACGGGTCTCTAGAGTTACTATTACTCAGCTTCAGTTCATTATCTAGCAAACTAGATTAAGGATTGATTAACTAAACTACTCTACTAACTAAACTAAGTAAAACTACTAATTACAGTTTGGGAACTCACTTAGGTATGATTCCCCCTAGCTCCTCAATTAGGTCCAAGTTGTAATTCATTTTGGTTGATTTACTGTTGATTAAACTGCGGAAGATCCGACAGTAGCTTGGAATCTCTTAAGCTGACCAAGCCCTCTCAGTCTAACTATCCGGCAGACGACTAGTCTTCACCGGGATAGAACGCTGAAGCAATAAGCACAGAACTCCACTACTGGAATGAATTCCAGTACAAAGCAGTGAATTGATTGACTCTCGCACAACCAATTCACTACTATCAATCAAGGAAGCTCTCTTAACCTAATCAGATTCTATCTATCATAGGTTAAAGCAGAAATCAAGAGAATTTGATCAAGATCCAATTGACTCAATAAATCATGCCTCAATCGATTATAATCAAACAATAAAGCATCCAAAACTTCATACAAGAAAGATCCTAACTCATGGAACTAGGGTTCCTCAAAACCTAAGTGAAGAGAAGTTACTCCATAGAGAAGAGAGAGACTGCAGAAATCTGATCTAGATCTTCAATCTCCATCTCCAAGCTTGATTCCCGAGCTCCAATGGCGAAGAAATCCTCCAAAATAGCTCCAAGAATGTTCCCAAGTCGCTCTCTCTCTCTAGGGTTCGTCCCTTGGGTTTTTGGGATCCAAAACCCAGCTCTCCCTCCTCTTTGGTTCGGAATTTGGCTTAAAACCAGGAAATCCCGACTCGCACGGCCAGGGTGCACGGCCGTGCACATCACCATTCTGGCCGTGCACCTCAAAACGCGGCGTATCAATTAGTTGAACCTCAGCCAACTCGCACGGCCAGAATTGTATGTTGCACGGCCGTGCGTGGCCACGCACAATCCCGTGCGTGCCCACGCACAATCCCGCACGGCCAAACTGGTCACTTGCACGGCCGTGCGTGGCCACGCTGGTCTGCCCGTGCAGCTTGCTCAGCCTCTGTTTAATGCTTCGTTTCTCCCTCGTCCGGACTCCGAATCAATCGCCGTTTGATCCCAGACGCTCGTAGTCTCGTCCTCTTTCGTTTCATAACAAGCTTGCATGATTCTTTGTCCATAAAGTGAGGTAGAAATCCATTCTTCTTCAGGTCATGCCCGAGTTTCTTCTCTCGAATCGTCAATTGATCTCTGATTGACTTGAAACTTGCGCCTATGCTTCACTTTATGTGCTAGGACCTGAAATGGGACAAAGGAACACAACCTAGCATAAAATAGGCCAAAGACGCAATAATTCAAGCTCAAACAATCAAGAAACAAAGGAGAAAACATGTGCAAATACCGAGTCATCAATAACGCAACCCACATTTTGTTTGCCAAGCGAGTTATTTTAATCCAAATACCTCGGAATGAGTTATTTCGGCCAAAATAACTCATCCAAATGTTGCATCCAAACAACCTGTCATCCAATGCCAACTAAAGTAGGTTTGATTCGGTAATAATTGTGACCATTCATTCTATTAACTGTTAAGCAATTTATACTTACCATTAATCACACCGTTCATATTAGTCGGTTAATCGTAACCGTACAGTCCCTTATAACCTTATTGTCGATTATCTATTATTTTGTCGTTCAATCGACTAACCGTTGAGCAAGTAATTTGGTGATTTTGTATGTCTCTTATGCTTACTTAATCGATTGTCTACGTTATAACAAAAACATTAAATGAATTAATTGTGAATCAATTTTCACCACTCTGGGTGTAGTCAAAACTATGTCTAACATACATTTTAGGACATTGAGAGGTGGTGATTGTCGCTATGATGTTGATAATATCCTTGCAGTAGGCAAATTCCCTTTTTCAATAATCTATTTGTTCCCTTTTACACTGTTTTTGTTCTTCCTCTCTTCCTATGTTTTTTTTTTTGTGTTGTTTTCTGGCACTCTCATGTTCTTTATGGTTATTGTTTCCTTCTAACATTCTCTTTTCCCTTCCTTTTTTGTTTAGATTCATTCGATTCTATCAAAAATACTAATATGGGGGTTGGGTTCCATGGTTGGAAAGGGAGGTGAGAGGTAGTTAACTCAAGAGCTGAGAAGCTAACTGCGAAGTTTGGTACCACATCGATTGTCGAAGAAAATTGTATTACTCCCTATAGTTATAAAAGGTTTGTGTTAGTTTCTTAGCCAATATAGTGGAGATTCCAATTCCAATACATTTGTCTCTTAAGATACGAGAATAAAATGTCTTTTTTCTACAAGGCCTAAGAGTTAGGCTTCTTATGGTGTTTGCTAGGCTCAAATTAAGTAGGCATATGTCTGCCAAGGTTTGTTATTTTTATCACTGCCAAGAGGATAAAAAAGGGAAGCCTAGCAATGAGACATTTCCTTACTTGCCAACATGCTACCATGGAGAAGTTTGGAATGTATATGGCTTTGATCGATCATACCTATGTAACGACACCTTCTTCATACTCCCTATGAGCTTCATGAGCCAAATGTTTCCTTTAGTGATGAGTAGTTCCATTGGCATTGTAGGGCCAATTCCTATCCTTTTCTTAATTTTTTCTATTTTACTTCACTTTTAAAATGTTTTTAATTTTCCTTTTTAAGTACTTAGACTTAAATATTTAGTATGTATAAATAATTTGTGTGTGTGGTAGACTAGTGTTTATATTTTTTTTGTTTAGATAACCCTTATATCTCTCTTTTTTCTGTGTAAATGCTTCTTTTGTCTAGATAACCCTTAAAGACTTACACTTTTGTTCCTACCATCCACCCAATGGTAACTTTGTGAACTCTACATTAATCTCCACATCGAGGACAATGTCCCTCTTAAGTGTGGGGGCATATGCCTTGCATGTTGTTAAATGTTCATCAATGATGGCGTCGTTCGATTGATTGCTTCTCTATGATGATGAATGAATGTGTTTGTAATTATGTGTGAGAAATGCGATTGATTGAATGGTTTTGTGAATGGTTGTTGATTGGCATGATAATAACTTGCTTGCAATCAAAGTTATGCCTTAAATTTTTCCAAAATTTGATGGTTCCAATTAAGGCCCAATGCATGCTAAGTGATTTCATGATTGGCATCATCGAACCTCGCTTCTCCTTCTTGGTCAATGTTAAGGAGCAAACTCTGTGAGATATTTCAAAATGAAGTATTTTTGCTCGATTGCTTTACCTATCTTGGTCCGAATGCTTCACTAGTGAAGGAGTGGTAGGTTTGTTTGAGTGTGAAGCTTGATTTTTAGTTATAGGTCGGTGGGACAATGCTTGAATTTGTGCCTTCCCACAACAATTTTTTTTAAACTAAAGTTGTGTAGCTTTTCAAAGGCTTACGTGTGAGGCCCCGATAAGATGTTTTCAATTGTAAGTTAGTAAAGGAGGTTGTACTTAAATGATGAGTTGTATGTTCTTAAAATTGAACTGTGGCAATTTTGTCAGCTCCCAAGCAAATGAAAATGAAAGAAAATAAAAAGAATGAGAGCTACCACACAGTAATTAAGTTGCTCGAAAATGTACCTCCTACACTCTTGTGCTTAAATAGTGACAAAACAACATTATTAGCAGAGAAGGATTGCATGTTTTGACTGGTTGTTTGATGTGGTTTATGGTTTGATACTGTGGAACCTGTGTTTGGTTTGATAGTCATGACACCCTCGGCCAGTCCGTGACTCTAACACGGGGAACCACTAGGTTCAAGTAGAAGTCATGGTCACACTCGTGACCCGCAAAACAAGTTACGATCACGCCCGTGACTCACAGCCCATAGTCATGACTCTTGGTTCAGGGTTTGAAAGAAGGATGTCGTTTGGGAGGTCACGGGCAAAATGGCCAAGTCACTACAGTGACATGGGCCGTGTCATACCAGTATCCAGAGAAACATAAGGCAGACTTGGCAAAAAAAAGGGGATATGATTTTGATTAGAGAAACGACCTAAGAGAGATCTAGAGAGATGAAAGTGATGAAGAACAAGGATTTGGAGATGATTTGAGCTGAAATACCACGATTGAAACTCAGATTTTTCCCCTCAGAGAGCATATCATCATATCGGAGCTGATTATAAACATTTTCATGATTATGAACACTTCGATTGTGTTTTATTCTTTCTCTATGGAGTAAACCCCTCTCTTTCACTTGGGTATGAAGAACCCTAAAACTGTATGTAAGGAAAAGATTGTATGAACTCATATTCATGACTTTTGATTGTTAAATATTCAATTGAGAAATTATTCACAAATCTACGAGTCTTGATCAAACTTGTATGTTTCCTGCTTTGACCTAGAACGATAGTCCCTGAATAGGTCAATAGAGCAACCTAAATTGGAAGTAGTGAATCGATTATACGATAGTCAATTGATTAATTGCTCCGTGCTGGAGTTAAAACCCAGTAGAGTGAGAAGTCTATTTGAATTGCCTTGATGATTTATTTTGGTGGAGGATATAGTACCCCACTGGGTATTCTATTTAAGAGGTCTGTAGCACTTAAGTCGAGACTCCAGATTATCTAAGGACTTTCCACTGTGTAAACATCAATTGAACTGGATTTGGTAAATTATAATTAGGCCTAACTGCAGACTAGGGGGACACTTTCCTAAGTGGTGTTTCTCAAACTTGAAAATCTGAACAACTACCTGCTCTCATTTCTTTTTTGCCTAAAACAAACTTCTCTACAATTCGACCAGTAGATAATAGAAAGTTCGCAAATTAGTCAGTATATCGAGGATCCGAGTTGACAAGTAAAACTGAACCCGCTTTACTATAGTCTCTTTTAGTGGTTATACTTGGCCATTGTTAGGAGTTGTGTTTTAGCCAATCAGAAGGTCATGATTGTATTTCCTAGGTCTCTCACAACCACTTAGGTGATGAAAGACGATTTATATGAAGAACGAAAACTTTACGGTGGAGGTTGAGGTGCCTCCGGTTCCACAAAATATAAAAGTAAAATAAAGCAAGTGTGAGAAAAGAAAATCTAATTTAAGTGGCATGTGTAGGACGCAAGAGAGAAAGGCGTTGCATAGACAAAGCTTCCACTAGAGCTTCCCCTAGGTGTTGTGTCACACAACCTGGTGTGCCTATTGTTCTTGATAGGGGTGTATGTTGTCTAGACGTAGGTGAGCAAACATACCAATATACATGGTTAGGCGAACTCGCATAAGTGTGGTTAACCTAAAAAATAACCACTAAGCGCATAGATGGTTGACGGTTAACCGTTAAGCGTTGGCGGGTAAGCTAGTGGTAATGATGTTTTGGTTGGAGGGTTAGCACTAACCGCATTATTGGTTAACTATTAATCGCTAACTGACACGGCTATCACTCCTAGCCTTAATAATTCAATGCTTATATCATCTATTATGTGCTACTAGGACATTGCTTATAGTGTCGTCAAACGTTATGCATGAAACTGCTCTTGTACGATATGCTATTGTCTTATGCATGTATGTTTCATCAATAAAATATTTAATCATTTGATGGGTCTTGGAACAGATGGCTTGAAAGGGGACAAATGGTGACCTTCCGAGGATTATGTTATAAGGCTAGGGGTGGTCGATAACGTGGAATTCGATCAGATGAGTAGGTCATTTGTCCTCAAAAGGTGCACTCGATGATCACAATCCTCTTTTTTCCATTTCACTCCCTGTTGAAGACACCTCCTTAGATCGTGTTACGGATCTTCAAGGTGTCTTCCCTTGCGTTGGCAAAAATTTCATACTCCTCGCCTGCGACAATGGGAGAACAACGAGGTTGTCCATGGAGGGAGCATGATTACCTTACTAGCTCTCTATCTTGGCATCACCCTTTAGTCGTGAGATGTATTGTGGTTGGCCAAAGTCGCCTTCACCATGGTACAATGGAACAACATGCGAGCAAAACACAGAGCAGTCGAGCAGATAGAGTTGGGAATCCGGTCCTAGTTTTTCGGTCAAACCAGAAACCGACTAGTTAAAATCATCTTGGCTACTAACGAAAACCGGATACAACCCGATATTGTCCGGATTTCGGTTGCATATATTTGGAAAAAACTGGACCAGTTGTAATCCGGTTAAAACCACAAAAAACCAAAACACCGGCCCCTTCCCAGCCCATCGCCCAAGCCCAACCCTTAAGCCCAAAAACCATAACCCATCTCAACCTCTCATCACAGCCAAACCCAAAAGCCCACAAGACAACCCTAATCGCCCAGCCCAACACTGTCTTCACTCACACCATCAGTCTCCAACGCTTCGCCACGATGCCACTCTCTCTTATTTCTCTCTATTGTAGAAGAAGACGTCGAGTAGAAGAAGCGGTCGATCGTCAAACAACCGACTCACCTCTCTTCCCCGATGACACTATGATGCCCCTTTCTAGCCGAGCCGCAAGGTCTGGCCACTTCTCTAGGCGACGCCGACGACGATGCCTTATCTTGTCCCCTCTCTCCTTAGTCTCACCAGTCGATTTGAGACTGCCTTCAATCTGCACCCTCTCTCGATCTCTCCTAGATCGGAACATGCAACAACAACAATGAAGCAACAAGTGAAAGGGGAGAGAAATAGAGAGGGAAGACGCAAAGGTGAGAAAGACGCGACAATAGCGATGGCGACGACGAGGAGGATGCGAACATGTTGGCGATTGGTGGGAGAGAAGGGAGTGAACTATCCGCGAAACTTGTCGAAGTAAGGAGTAAGAGGGGAGAGGAAAAGAGATGGAGGGGGAGAGATTTGGGGGTTGAGGATGTTCAATCTACACCCTCTGGGATTTTGGAATTTTGGGAGAGAAGGAATAGAAACGGTGGCGTTTCGGACAAGGGAGGATTTCCAGTTTTTTGGTTGAAATCGAATTGAATCCAATCCAGTACGGTCACGTTTGAAACCGAATGCTCATCCAATCCAATATCCGGTTGATGCTTTGATCAAAATGGTTTTTAAAAAATTGGGTTAACCCGATCCGGTTAAACCGAACTGGACTGTTTCCCAGTCCTACGAGCAGATGATGGGAAAAAGACTGTCTCTAGATATTTTCGTATTCTAAATTTCCTTGTCCATCGCAAACACAAAAATCTGGAGATGCTGCTTTCACTTCTCATTTATTAAAAAGTCCCATGTGGGTTATTTGTCCCATGTGGATTATTTGTCAAATTCTATTCAATATTCATAATATAGGAGCAAATAACACTTTTAAAAGAGTGATTTACTACTCCTTCGTTACTATTTCTTTTTGTAACAGCTTGAACGTTAACCCTAAATGTCCTAGCTAGATTAAGCTGTGTAAATAAAAGCAAAATATACGTAATTTATTGCATCATACGGTGCAAGCCTTCCCGATGCAGTTAGCTACTCAGCTTAGCTAGCTTGGGATTGTTTAAGTGGGGTATTTGAGATAAGTGGCCTAGGAAAGTGGGTAGAAACTAAGCGAGCGGATTAAGAAACTTGAGCTCATATTCAAAGCATTCACATGGAAGTGTTCATGGTAGTGGTTATTATAACCGGAACATTTATCAATATTATGGCATTGGAGTTTACAAGATTGATTTGTTTAGAAATGGTGTATAATATGTAATTATATCTCTTCCAACAATTTTAGTCACATGGAAGTGTTCATGGTAGTGGTTATTATAACCGGAA